AATCAATACTTGGTTTCCGTGTAGTGATACTTTATTGCCACACAAAAATATTGCGATACTTTGCTATATCGATTTTCTCCCCACCCCTATTCTTCAGTCTCTGTCTGAAACACTCCATTTCAGCACCTGTGTCTTTAAGCTGCTCGCCCAGAAAAAGCCCTGTCTGCTCTGATTGGCCAGTGTTTGCAGGTCTTCCGCATCTTTGTGTCACTGCACCATCACTGACTGGTGATGACTGGAATAACTGGAGTATAGTGGCATATTCTACCATAAAATATCACCAGTAAAAGCTTCTAAACACAACCGGACATGTACCAACAGGAATATCATCTGAAATTGGGAAGAAATTAACAAATTTGGCAACCAATATTACATGTTTCCCTGATGTTAGCATGTAGTTACACATAGCAGTGTACTTGAAGCCAGTGAATGACTGTTTGTAGCCGTACTTTTTCCGTTACCAGTTAAAGCTTCTAAACACAACCGGACATATTCCAGCAGGAATATGATCTGAAATCGGGAAGAAATTGACAAAATCGGCAACCAGGTTTTCAAGTTTTCCTTACGTTAGCATGTAGCAATGTAGGTTAGGTAATGTAAACCCTTCAGTAGCATGCATGGAAGTCACTGGCTTCTTGCTGAGAGTTTGATGAGAGTAAATTGATACCACTCTTATGTCTGGCCATAACACATAAAGCTGCACCTAGGAGATGGTCAGCTTAGCTTAGCATGAAAACTGGAAAGACGATTATGAAAATATTGCTATTTATACATTTTTAAAATGAATTCAATGCCGGTGTATATATGTGCATGTGTCTGCTCTACCTATAGGAATGATTCTTTTCCTTTTCGCTTGTCATGATAGGAGCAGTCACTGATAGGTATTCCAGATGCAAAACACACAGTTAATCTCACACACACACACACACACACACATGCACACACCCACATACACTTCTTCAGACAAGTCAGTGAGGCAAACTTAGGGCCAGTGAGGCAGAAAGTGGGGTGGGGCAGATGTGAAAGTCATTTGAAAGAGCCTTGCTGTTCCCCTGCTTTTCATCTAAACTGTGGAGTGATTATCATTCATACTTGCCATGTTTTGTAAGGTGGGGCGGGAGTGGTGGGTGAGTGCGGGGGGCACGTGTAGATAAACGTGCAGCGGGGCTGGAGGGCTGAATAAAGCGGAAGAAATGCACAGCAGTGGAAGTATTAGTCAGACACACTGGCTAGACTAGACCACAGTCTCATGTTCACACATCTACATACTGAGGGGCACCCAGTCAGAAAAACAAGTCTGCTCTCCATTTGGAAAGAGTTCAGTAATGGTCAAAGCGTTCTTCACAGACCAGTAATGAATAGAGCTAAATAAAGACTGTTTTCTTCTTTTTTTTAACTCACCACTTACAAACAAGGCCAAGAGTTATTTTCTGAATTCAATATTGTTCAGCCAGTTGCCGTCAAGTCCAGCTAACCAGGTACAAACATTTCACTCATGAAATATTGGCTATTATGATTTATTTACATAGGACAGGAATGGAGTACTTTTGGGGAAAGGCCACAGAATGAATGATTCACTACAGAACACACAGTCAGGGAGTGACTGTAAGATGAAGCAACTTTATAGAAATGCTGAGCAGAGAATTAACCTCAGTGTGACCTGCGGAGTGGAAAGCCTGCACTCATTACATGTTCGTCACATATTTAGGCCGATGCGGTTGCCAAAATGGTCAGAGTTTGGAGGAAATAGGTAGCCTGGCCGCAGCTTGTCATTTTTACTCTTTGGATTTTATACAGATTTAACAAACGAGATACAAGGTGTAGATTAGTGAACTTATAGGTGCTGGCAGGTTGTTATCTCTGAAATCTAAAAATCTATCCATGCATATGTAATATGACATCCTGTATTTCTCCCTAAGTCCATATTTCCAAATTGATATTATGGTATTTTCACTTGAACGTAATAAAATATCATCGCTGGGCCATGTTCTTTATGCTGTGTTGTAATTTCCCTGCGTTTTTCCATAAAGAGTGCTAAAAAGTGACCAGTGTGTAGAATTGGACCCTGGCCAAACAGGATTATGCTGAGTTTATGTCTGGTGGTCTGGGTTTGGGGGGGAAATGCCTGGACTGATCCCAGCTGTGGATATCTGTCTTCTCTTTAGTCTCACACGTTGAGACGGCCGATTTCCTCTCTGCGAGCCAAGTGCAACACTGGTCAGACCCATCTCTGTGCCCCCTTTTCATTCTCACCTCGTACCCCCTGTTCTGTCTGGAGTTTTTGTTTTGGCACCTGGCTTCACTTTGATTACTGACATTTTCTATTGGTTCCATGTTCTGTATCAGGTGAAGTTTTACCTGTTTCACATGTTGATTTACATGTTTTTAAGTTGTTCATGTCTCTTATAAGCCATGAATAAAGCTCTACATCCCCTCACTTTTTAAAGATAGGTTTTGAATTAGGAATATTAGATCCCTGATCATGATCACGTCTCATGGCCTTCCTATCCTGCCAGGCACTAACGGAAAACACGGTGTCATGCTATGGCCAGTTGGAATCTCTTCATGAAAGAGTGGTTTTTACCCGCGCTAACCACTGCGGTCAGTGGGAGGACCGGGGTCACTGTAGAAACAGTCTGACTTAGTCGTGGCTCCTCCTGCATTGCAGTCTTTAGTGTTCAGAGACCCTGAAGCCTTGAACATTCCCTCAGGCTGACGCCATCTCAGGAAACCACCCTGTGGGCAAACGTTTCATATTTCTGGGAGACATGCCTGGATGTTAGCTTTTTCTGCAGAATGAAAGAAGCGGACCATTACGAAATTACTGAGATCAGCATACCACGGAGCAGCTCAGAGTTTTGGCTCCGTCTGGCACCCACAGTGCACCCTTGCACCCAGCCAGGAACAAACTGCAGGACTTGGCTCAAAGAGGGAAACGAACAGTGGCAGAGTTATTAGGTAGCTGTTATCCTGTAAAGCACTGGAGGTCAAAGGTGACCATTCCCTCCTGATTTAGGGGTCGTCAGGACACATGATACTTATTGTGCTTGATGACCCCATGGTCTGACCAACTGGCTTTACAGCCCTTTATAGTCAGTGGACTTTGGACCACCCGCAGACACTCTCCCAACCTGAACTCTGTCGGCAGCTTCTGTCTTTAGTCTCTCTTTAAGATCTTGATTTACAATTAGAATTTTACGTCCCACATTTTTCTTTTCATCTTCTATCAAGCGCTGTCACTGTTGCGATCCTCCAAGAAATCCAAGCTGCTACGTGAGAAGTCTATGAAGACACATTTGGCTGGATTTCCACACTTTCCTTTAGGGGATAGACTAATGTTTCTCTTTTTGTGCTCTACTGGTTTGTTTCAGGTTCTTGGCTCACTTTTACAGTGAGAATAATAACGTTGATATATTTCACGTCTTATCTGAATTTCCAGTAACTTTCAACATGCTACTAGTGAATTACAATTTATTCCCTTTAAGTTTTTTGGGGGGAAAAACCCAAACACTGTTAGCTGGATTTGACAGGTCTGTGCTGTCATGTTTCATGTATGTTTGCCCACCAACTCCCTTCAGGCCATTACACCAAGCACTGAACTCTGAAGACGCAACAAAGACGGAGCAAAAATTCCAGACATTCATCCAATCTGCTACAGCCTCTCTGCAACACTTAACAAGTTTAAACAAAGATTTCAGCTTCAGATTTTTCAACTTGACTTGTCGTATTTTCAAGCATATGTGCAAACTGTGGGGTCTCTAAAAGGCCACAGTGGGATTTCTTTTTTTTTTTTTTCTGAAACACTTTTGCATTCCCTCGCAATACATTCTTCTGTTATGACTCATTGGCCATACTGTATTTACAGTATATCAAGTGCAACAGTACCTGTGAAATCCAGAGTGCAAACAAAACTATACCAACTAAATACTGTTCTTGTCTTTTAAACAGCTCACAATTTATTTGAGATTGTGTCCACTTCATTCATTGTACAACTTTTTTAAAAGAAATGACACAAGCAGGCTCTTCTCATTTGTCTTTTTTGTGCCTCCCCGTCTCCTCTCTCCTCTGTCCTCCTGTGTATGATCTGGTAATTGATCTCAGCATGCTATCATAGAGGATGTCTCAATCACTAAAAGTGAGGCTTGCCAGAGGAGCTATGAGCAAGGATGAGCACAAGTGGATGCTTTGCAGAGGTCTTTTTAGCACCCATGATGTATAAAACAGGGAAGGCGCAGATGTCTCAATTTGCTAGATATCTGTTATCTCCTCTCCTCGTGTCTCTTCTTCTGCTTGCACCTCAGGTGGGAGGGACTAAGGCGGTATTCTGGGTAAAGGGGTAGTCAGTTTTCAAATTCCAGCCTACCAAGTTTGTCACTTTTTTAAGTTGGCTAAACTCACCAAAAAATAAAGTAGCGCACTAATAAAACTGAGCCAACAGCCAACAGTGTTGCTTGAGCTAAATGCTAATATTAACATCCTACAATGCTCACGTAAACAACATGCTGATGCTAAGCAGATATGGTATTTATCATGTTCTACATCTTATTTTAGTGTTAGCATGCTAACATTAGCCATTTAGGACAAACTCACAGCTGTGGTTGATGGAGACGGCGTTAAAGTGTGCCACCTGATGATGGCGCCAAATTAAATGTCAAGGAATCATCTCAGTTATCAGGATTCATCCTCTGGGGATCATGAATGCCTGCAAACAAAATCTCCTGGCAATCTTACTTGTAGCTGTGGAGATATTTGGGACAACCTGACTGACTGGCAAAGCTATTTGTACCAACAAAAGCTAGCATGGCTAAAAATAAGATATGAAAAATGGGTAAAGTTTAAAAAAAAAAATCCATTGAAGCTTTAATCATTATTATGTATTGGTCAGTAAAACAAGGTTAAATATTCTGTTGATTGAGACTCTTATAGTCTGTGTTCAGTTATCTGTACATTACCTGCAATATGGCATGTGGTGAAGAAACATTTCCTGTGCTGTTTCTCAGGGTTTGACGGTGCAGGTGGAAGATGTGAGGATCAGGGCCACTTACTCCCACCGGAAAAGGATCCCCATCACTGAGGGCTTTTTGGAGGTGAAAGATGGAGGCAAGTGGAGACAGATCTGTAACGAGGAGTGGACGGAGAAAAACACCAGGGTCATCTGTGGCATGTACGGCTTCCCCGGGGAGAAACGCTTCAATACCCGACCCTACAAGTGAGTAATGTTGTTTGGGGCCGGCAGCATGGTTTAAAAAATTAGATATAATGAAAGTCTTCACATGAGTTGAATTAATTACAGTTTAGGTTATGGGAATATAGTAGTGCTACATATATAATAAATCACTTGAAATTCACACCTGTGTAAACAAACTATCATTTGGGGCACGTCACACACTCCTTTATAATACAAACACTTTTTTATGTTTGAAATTTTGCATTTCCAGGAGGCTACCTGAGGATTTTTGAACTGTTGATTTTCAGTCTATTTAGGCATGTTTTATCATAGCAAACTGATGTGAAGAGACATTATATAACCCAACTGTTTACACTGGTCATCACTCAACCCCTCATCCGTTTTCCACACTGAGATTAAACAGATTCGTGCCTGGAGATTCTTGACATGAAGCCAAACACTGCCAGAGGAAGTTTTAGAGGATGAAGGATGGGCCCTGCTGGGAAACTGCCGAGTGCAATACGCTGTGAAACAGTGGCTCTTTTGGCTGCGTCTAATTGTTTCCCTCTAAGCAAAAAATGTCAACATGTAGCCCGACACAAAGCCAGCCATTTCCTAGAACACTTTGTGTGTGCATAATTTTTATCTGCTAATATGGGAACTGATGTTCAAAACAAAACAGATGCCTACAGCACATGAGAGAATAACTGCATGAGCAAATCTCCTGATCTGGTAACTTCATGAAAGAGAACACCCGCAGGTATTAATCCAATAGTCAAAGGTTTTTTTTATAAACAAATGTAGTTACCTGCCCTCCAAGAACGCATCTTTGTTGGTTTGGTCTTTGGTGAAGTTTATGTTCATGAGTTTATGTTTTCATATGTCAGTCTAATCTATTCATTATGTGCATGCAGTCACTGTTGGTCTCTATAATCATATGAAAGGCTCCCAGAACCACAGTACAACCACAGTCAAATTAAGACCAGAGAGACTTCAGAAATGCATTTGCTTACAGGAAGATCACATATGATGTGGTCAATTTTGCACCTTGATATTCAAACTGATGTTTCTGGCTTTGATTAGCAATGTGTATGATATAATTAGATGAGGGCAAATAAGATGACTTTGATTAGAAAGGTTTCTATTTTTATAGCTTTGGTAGACATGGAGTCATATGATGTGATGCTAATCTTACATATGGATGCATTTAAACTGAAGCACAGTATAAGGTGCATCAACCCAACAAAGAGCATTTTGTTTGTTGTTTATCACTTAGGATCAGAACGCCTGCGTGGTTTTAAAGCGTGTAGTCTCACATGGTTCGCTGTTTTACAAAGGTGAAAGATCACATTCAGTCTGTCTTTTATCTGCAACAACAAAGGACAGATCTGTTGACCAAACGTGTCAATAACAGTCCAGTAAAATTAAAAACTCCCAACTAAAATTTAGCATGTCTTTACATTTCACAGACCACAAACTGTTCTTGCATTCAAACAGATTTGGAGCTGCATTCTGTTTACAGCATCTGGATAAGCTGTAAGAACTGTGAGGCTGTGAATGTCACTCATGTTGGTTTCATTACATGGTCTGCTTCTTCCGAGGCCCCGACCTGCTTCAGGGTCCACTGTTGTTGGGTTCCTCAGTGACCCTTAGTTGATGACTTCCATTCAAGTATGGGGGTCGTGAGAGTGTTGAGGTATTCTCACAACAATCCCCCCATTGTTCTTCATAGCACAGTACGGTTATTGTTGAATTCCACAAAATAAATAACTGAAATTCCCGCTCCCCCATAAAACAGCTCCTTAATATTTTTGTGAAGTGTGAGAAAGAATGGTAAAATATTTTATGTGCTGCTGATGCTTTTGAAATACTTGACAGTACTGCCAACCATTTTCCAAAGCAGGCTTTTGTTTTTTAGATTTTTGAAGATGTTTTCCATACCTGCAATGTTTGTATGGTATGAAAACACCTTCATAACAGAAGGCACCTTGTTGTGGTTCAGAGATGTGGCAGGTGATGATTTACTGTTCGGTGTCAGAGCCTCTCAGCAGCACTTGAATGCACCAAGCGTGCTCCTTTTCAAAACAGTCTATGCAACAGCATGCCATGCAGCGATGACATAACATATAGTAACAAAAAAGGACTGACAACGTGTTCAGTATGATGATGATGGATTGCCTTTCCAGGGAAAGTGAAGTTTTGTTGGTTTTGGCCTGAACTGATACCCGTGGGTACGCAAAGGGTTGGAAAAATTATGACAATCGTTCTAATATGGTTGGCAGTAATGTAAATGTATAGAAATTAACAGAAAAGGTATGCAGTATCATTTGTAATAGTTTATATTGTTGCATCATTTCTTCTCAGATTGCTGGCCAAGCGTCGTAAGAAGAACTTCTGGGGTTTCTCTGTCAACTGCACAGGCAACGAGGCCGACCTGTCCGATTGCAAGCTGGGAAAAGAGATAAAGCTGAACGGCAACCTCACCTGTGAGCAGGGCATGCCTGTAGTGATCAGCTGTGTTCCTGGACGTGCTTTCGCCCCTAGCGTCAGCGCTGGCTTCAGAAAGGCCTACAGGGTGGAGGTAGGTCAGCACAGCGGATCTCGGGTTTGAAACTCAGCTTTTGTCCTTTCTGTCTGGTGTTTGCATGTTTTTTCTGTGTTAAAGGAACACCACCCAAATTAAGAATTCTAATATGTTATTTCCATGGCTGAGGCAAGTTTAATCAGTATTTGTGAACATGAGCTACCCTCTATCAAAGCCAGAAACCAGAGAAGTACATCTTAAACTTGTGATATCATAGGGTACAAGGTCTGGAGCTGCTCCATGGACAATAAATGGGAGCCTGATTTTATGGACCCACAGAATGTTTTTGTTTTTGCACTCATATGAGCTTTATTCTGCTGTGGTGTTCTCAGCTCTGAAACAGAAAATGTACCCATATGCTCAGAACATTCCTCTGGGTGCTCTCAGTGTCATCGAGAACATGTTTCCCAATTCATTGTCTCTGGAGCAGCTCCAGACTCTATATCCTATGACATAACAGATTTGAGTTTTAGCACTCTAGTTTTTAGATGTGGGACGGAGTTGTTGCTTTTTACTAATATTTTTGGACTGTCTTAGACCATAGGAATAACGTGTACATGTTGAAATTGGGCATAGTTCCCCTTTAAAGTGGATAACAGGGATCCTGAACTGTTTTATGTGGCCATGTGCAACACTTCATTAAAGTTACTGGCTGTTGTAAGAAGATATAGTAAATGTACAGGATTCTGTTGGTGGCATTTGTAAAAAAGACTACCCGACTTTTTGCAACAGTGCACACTGAAATAATGACGCAGAACAACAGCAATACATGCCATAGGCTGTTTGAAATACTTTTTAAATTGCTGTGCGACTGCTGGCAGCTTGTCATGCAGAGGAGGGCAGTTAAGGTCAATAAGTGCATTGGATTCTGGTGCTTTTGTTAGGCTGAGCAGAATCAGATGGTTGGAAAAACTGAGTGTTTCTAATAAGGAAGAAAACAGTCATGTATTCTGGTAAGAGTTATCCCATCTGGAGGACCGAGTCTTCCCTTGTGGGAGAAAAACTATAAAGTAAACAGTATCAACAGACTCTGACACTTCACTAAGTCAGTTTATGCGACCATATGACTAATAATAGTTTCACCTAGATCTTTGTGACATTTCTTGAATAACTTCTGACTCTGATTAATTCTTTTTTTTAAAAGAAAATCATGCATGTGTTTTTATAGTGCAGATTTAAATGTCTGATTTAAAATCTGTTTGTTGTCCACACACAGTACGTTGCTGCGTTACTGTTACACTATAGGAGCCATAAACATTTTTATTTAAATACAGAGTTGAGTAAACACATGATACACAATACTATAGTCAATTCTTGATATGAGTCCAGCCTGTATTACAACATTTCCTGCTTATTAATCTAGTGGCCCTGCAGTAAAGCATCTGGAAACATTTGAATGGACGAGTGCTAAGCATCAGTCATGTATACAATCATATTATCAGTATTGTCGCTTGATGTTTATTGTTTACTAAGTTATTACACAGGGTGCCACCACCCCACAAAACGAGTAACAATGGTAATCTAATATGGACCAAATACACCAGGAGTAAAAAGTATTTTTAGTCCTTCAGCTTGTTTTATGTACATCTCTGATGCAGTTATGAGCAACGTGTGCAGTAAAGGGAGCCTGCTACCTCCTCTGAATCATTATACATGATACAACTGATGAAGTTTATTGTCGAAGTTGTTGAAGACACTAGCTAGTCACATGTTGCTGTATTTTGCAATTATGTCCAAATTAAATGAATAGAGTAATAACGTGAATAAATCAGATTAATTCAACTAGATTTTAATAGTTTGCATGAATGTTCTCTCTGTAACATTTCAACTAATTTTAGCTTTCGGTGGACTGTTTCTGCAGCAACCCTTGGTGCGTCTAAGAGGTGGAGCTATGATTGGTGAAGGGCGAGTGGAGGTGTTGAAGAACGGGGTGTGGGGAACAGTTTGTGATGATAACTGGAACATTCGAGCTGCCACTGTGGTGTGCCGAGAGCTGGGCTTTGGTAGCGCCAAAGACGCCTTGACTGGTGCCCAACTGGGACAAGGTATGACTTGTGAATACATACCCAGGTATTACAGCATAGTACCAGTGTAAGTAGTGTTACACTGATATAGAGTGTGAATTTTTGGTCATATTTGCTTAAACTGCCACACAGCACTAAATGATACAGATCGTCTGTGAAAAAAAATCTTATTCCTCTGCCTCTTTGTAGAGCTTCTAACCTACTGTACGTGAATATAAACAACCAATCAGAGTTGGGAAGCCTCTAACACAGCTGTCAATCATGTCAGTCGCTGTCAAACTAGGCTGCGCTGATCAAACATGAATCAAATTCTGTTACTGCATTGCCCATTTCTTGCCTCGCGTGTTTTTAGAAAACATACTTTGGTGTACTGTTTAGCTGTAAAATAAGAAAGTTGGTCAAGCTGGTGGGTGGTTGTTTTGGCTTGATTGTTTCCAACATGGCGGCAAAATTTCTCATTTTACTCCTAAACAGTACACCAAAATATGTTTCTGAAGACATTTCAGGGGAGAAATAGGCAATGCAGTAACAGAATCTTAATCCATATTTGAACAGTGCTGCCTGGTTTGACAGTTTGACTGCAGTTCACGAGCAGTGATTGACATGATTGGCTCGAATTGGTTGTTTACATTCATGTGTGGTAGATTCTAGCAAGATGCCATTAGAGACAATAGGAGGAAGACATATTTTTTTTTTTTTTTTTACAGACTATCTGTAGTGACATTTAATGTATTTGGATGTATCCAAATGTATCAAC